AAAAACAGACACAGACAGAGCTATTAGACTTAGGAGAAAAGCTCAGCTAATAACTTTATTTTTTTCATAAGGCTTGTGGTTAAGAAAAAATGGGTTAAAGTTAAACCTCCCCTCTGCATGTTGTGATCTTGATGACAATCATGTTCTCTTGCTGCTGGTGTGGTTTCTAATTAGCATTTTGTATCACATCTAGTTTCATCGTGTGTTGTCCCTATAAAGTAGTGATGGAATGTGATGGATAATGCATATATTAATTGCCACATTGAGCACAACAAATACAATGGGTGTGTGGCTAGCTCCAAAGCTAAATGGTGGCATAATTTTATGTCTTTGAATATGATGGGGCAAAAATCTAATTGAAAGACAACCATAGGCTTTGGAATAGAATTTTTTTTTACACACCAGGAATGGTAATGATTCAAGGATTTTGAGGATCTAAATGCAAGACCACATGTTTAGATCTATTTTTTAAAAAGCAAATAAAGGCTCAATATCTGAGGGCTCAGACAAGGCCTCAGATACTGATATGTCTAAAGGCAACACTTGCCCACAGAAAGGTGGGAAAGTGGCAGCACTTATGGAGGTCAACAGAGACTTGAATTCCTATACTGACAGAATTTCCCAAGCCCAAATATGTGACTGGACTACTGCATTGGCACCACTTGCACAGAAATTTGAAAACCTTTCTAATCAAATAAAAGACATCTCTTAAACTGCAAATGAAGCACTGATTTTTGCCACCACTAATCAATCTGAAATACAATAACTGCATATGGCCATGGATTCTTGCCCTATAGTTCGAGGTACAAGCAGAAAGAAAGAAATGTAAACATTTTTTAATCAGCCTACCAGAGAATTAGGAAGGGAGAGATATGACCAAATCATCTGTGGAACACTTTGGGTGGATTGGATACTAATGTTGAATATAAATACCCTCAATCAATAACAGATGTGGAGAGGCACACAGAGTCCCTGGAGGCTTAAATATTATGCAAAATGTGATTAGAGGTGATATTATGTACTATGCAAATTGATGATGCTATATGGAGAAGAGGGTTTGTAGATTGTCTCAAAAGGTCATTATTTGTCACAGTACAATAGACCTAGTTCTCACAAACAGTACAAGAGCTGGTGAACCTATGTCTGGACAGTTCCATTTTGGACTGTGCATGTGATTTAATGATTTACCATTCCATCATGTTGAAAAGTGGGGATAACGGTTTCTACACATAGAAAACATGGGTTATCCTTGACCATTAGCAATGATGACTGGGGCTGATGGGAGCTGTAGTCCAAATCATCTGTGGAACACTGTGTTGGCTACAAAGAGGCATACAGTGGTACCTCGGGTTACATACGTTTCAGGTTACATACGCTTCAGGTTACATACGCTTCAGGTTACAGACTCCGCTAACCCAGAAATAGTATCGCGGGTTAAGAACTTTGCTTCAGGATGAGAATAGAAATTGTGCTCCAGCGGCGGCAGGAGGCCCCATTAGTTAAAGTGGTGCTTCAGGCTAAGAACAGTTTCAGGTTAAGAACGGACCTCCGGAGCAAATTAAGTACTTAACCCGAGGTACCACTGTATTGGTAACATTGTATCAGAGAAATTGAGACACAGCTGTAGCTCAGTGGTAGAGTATCTGTTTTGCATGTAGAAGGTCCCAGGTTCAATCTCTGGCAACTGCTGGTACGGCTGGGAGAGAGCCCCTATCTGAACAGCAGCTGCCAGTCACTGTAGACAGTACTGAGTTAGATGGACCAATGGTCTGACTGAGTGTAATGTAACTTCCTATATTCCTATAAAGGTTAATAGAAACTGAACTTTGTTTCATGGACATCTTCTAGTTTAAGGTACAGACTCAGGTATACATCTGTTGGAAAATAGCTATTGTGATTTTGAGAGGTTGCTTAAATAGACATTGTTTCTATCCCAAACATGGGCCTGAAATTGGATTTGAATGTATCCTAATTATCATCCAGAGCCATCCAGAACACTCCCTCTCCTGTTTCTTTAATCCATGGATGGGGAAGCTATGGTTGTCTAACTCCAATCAATTCTTAACATTGGGGCTGATAAGAGTTGGAGTCTCAAGAACATCGGGAAGGACCACAGATTCCTCATTTCTGCTTTAAGCTACTGTCGACCAATGCATGCAGCTGTTATACTGAAGAAATTATTGAGATGCTTATTTACATGTGTTATTTTATTAAATTTTGTCCAAAGCAGCTATAAAAACGTCTGCTAAAGAACTGTAAATGTAACATACAACACAAGGCAAAGTGCTGCACTGTAATAACTAAAACAGTATAAGAGGACAGATGCAGGCAAACCATTAAAACACGCACTTCTTGACCCTATCCAAAAATATTTTAAATAGAGGAAAGATAGCCTTTAAGATGGTTCTGATACTTTAAGAATAACAGGAAAGGGTTTGTAAACTTTCACAATTGCACACAACTTTAAAAATCTGAAGATCTGTAGCAGAAAATAAATAACATTAATATTGAACCCCAGTAAACCTTCCAAACTTAAACATCATAGACAGTGTTCATGAACAGTGCAATGCTTTACACAAGCCAATCATGAAGCAGCATCAAACTGAATTATTCCATATTTCCCAATGATCATCCATTCATGTTCAGTTTTAGTAAGCTGTTCACCTTGCCCAGGTTTCAGCCCAACCTGGATATCACATTTTAGCGTTCTTAAGCTACAGAGAGGGGCAGGGTGAAAATTGTTCAAGGCTTGATGGAACGGCACTGTGAATTCCCACTTCCGATCAGCTATCAACTTTCTGTAGTTCAAATCACCTTTAAAAATAATTAAATTTGACTTCTGCAATTCACTGTACAAATCAGGAGCCACTTGAGCCATCCTACAATATTCATGCGGCGAGGTCCAGAACAAGTGATCATGATAAATCCAAAGGCCATTTTTCAAATAGCCCTCCCAGCAGACACCACACCTAGACATCCCCTTGTGATTAGCTGCCTGCATTTGCTTAATTGTCCAATTCAGGTCACGCCTTGTAGTATCTGACACATACCATGGGATGCTTTTCCCATGGAAATGAATTTCAGTAGCTAATTTGGAGGATAACAAGAAGTCAGCCAGTATAAGGTCAGCAGTAAGTTCAAAACCAGCATTATCCAGGACTATATCAAGTCTAGTAGTCTGCTTATTCATGTTCTTTTTGTTTATAAGCAGTGACCAAAGCTTTTCCATGTGATCCACCAAGATAAAAGGTTTTAACTCTTCCACAGATAGTAATGGGTCAGATTTCTGAGAATTATCTGCCCCAGCTGACATTGACAGGTCACACTTATTACCCCACAGAGAAACCTAAAGAAGGAAAAAGTACACCTTATTCTGTATGCCAAGTGATCCTTGCTCTACTATACACCAAGTGCATCTTTGAGGTCTGCAGTTAAGGGGCTACTGAGAGGTCTGCTTGTTGTAACATGAGAAAGTAGGTCAGAATTGGAGTATTTCTTTTTACTTCCATTGAAACCAATGTGAAAAGGCAGTGGGTTAATTCCCAAGAAGCAAATATAATATTAATAAAATTTAATAAGAAATGTAAGAAAAATGAGAATTAATCCACTTCTTTTGACCTTGAACAGGCTTAGGAAGTAGCAGTTTCTCTGCCAAGACACACTTACTGTTCTTTCAAATTCCAATCCACTAAGCCAGGGAACCTCAGGCTCAGGGGACCAATGTGACCCTCCAGTTCTTCCTTCCTTCACTCCCTCCCTCCTAATATGTTATGCATGAAACACCTGTTAGTGAAAGAACATAACTAAATCAATAAATTGGTTTTTATTGAATACTAACAAGTGATGTTGGGACACGCGTGGCGCTGTGGAATAAACGACAGAGCTTAGGACTTGCCAATCAGAAGGTAAGCGGTACGAATCCCCACAACGGGGTGAGCTCCCGTTGCTTGGTCCCTGCTCCTGCCAACGTAGCAGTTCAAAAGCACCTCAAAGTGCAAATAGATAAATAGGCACCGCTCCGGCGGGAAAGTAAATGGCGTTTCTGTGCGCTGCTCTGGTCATGCTGGCCACATGACCCAGAAGCTGTACGCCAGCTCCCTTGGCCAATAAAGCAAGATGAGCACCGCAACCCCAGAGTCGGTCACGACTGGACCTAATAGTCAGGGGTCCCTTTACCTTTAACAAGTAATGTTACAGAAAAGTTGAGACCAAAGTGTAATTAATATAGTTTCTGCTTATGCATTTAGAAGCCAGGGGTTAGCAGTTTTCTGCAGATGGGTTATATGATTAATATCTCAGTATAAAGCAGACTCCTGATTTAGCTAAGAAGGGACGGGGCACCTGTGGCCCTCCCAATGTTCGACTTCTAACTTCCATCATCCCCATCAAACATGGCCAATATATGTGCCTTCCTATAGCCCTATTTCATTTTGAAGAGGCCTTTAAATGTTGTAGAAACTTTCTGAACCTCACAGTAAAAGCTGTAGCAATATTTTTGGCAGCATGCCCTAATCAGGTTTTGGCAAAGGAGAGATCGATACCTATGAATTAATAGTTTGGCAAACTACAAAAGCAAAAAGCAAGCTAACGATAATAATTGATATACTGTTTTCTGAAGAATCATCATAGGAAGGTATGTGTATGACTGAGAATAAATGCCAGAAACTCTCCATAAAATATTTTTGCCTTAGTTATTAAATCCACTATGTGCATGGAACAGATTTGGGGTTCTATGTATTATTCCAGGTCATTTGTCATGCTTGTTTCTGGGCCTCAGTAGTCACTATTTTCAACAATACTGTATTGCAGAGAACAGTGCATGATGAGTTGGAGGTTTATAAGATAGGAACTCACTTAAAATGGTTCTGATGGCCTGAATAGTTTCTGAACATATTATCACTAATGGTTTCCATTAGGTCATATTTGAAACTAGATATTTAAACTGGATTTTAATATTACAGAATATGTGCAACAGATAAATTATTTAAACAAAATTTTACCTGTAGCAGCTTCAAAAATTCTTCCTTCAGGGATTTTTCATCTAGGCCCTTTATGTTTTTCAACAGCTCTTGTAGATAGGTGCTTAAAACAATAATAGCTTCCTGAGATTCAAAGAAACCATGATCCTTTTCTTTTTTAAATACATCATAGTCACTGATGGGTGGACTAAACAGAAGGGATAGAAACATAATAATACATTAGTCTTTGACATCACTAAATGCCAAAAACTTTCTCCCATAGCCGTTGCAGTCTCTGCTGAGACTGTAGTATGTCATGTCTAGTATGGTGCTGTGGGATCAGTGTCAGCTGATGGGGCCTGAAGATGTGGACAGTCATGGGTGCAGTGAGGATTTATGGGGGGGGGCAGAACCTAGGTTAGTTAAGTATTTTTATTGATTTACTTGCTCGGGGAGGCAGCTGCCCCCCCCTTGGCTACACCCACGGAAACAGCAGTGTGTCCAAGCTCTCTTATGACAGGATAGGTTCAGAATGTAGCTCACAGTTCTCTCTATTAGGATCCCTGGTGTCCTCAAGGAGGGAGTAGTGTGGTCACTTCCTCTCTTTTTTTCCTCCAAAGTTTTTATGAGAGATTTTATTGTGTTACAAAACAAACAAATAAATGGGGGACATATAGCATCTCCATTTCTGATTTATAGAGCCTTTTCCAGTTCATTTACATTGTGTATGAGTCACTGTCATTCTAGAAATGCGGTTGTGGGGGAAGAGAGGGGAGAGGTGGAACGATAACGTTATTTTGTTCTATTACATAGCGTTTGTGTATGTTATATTGTCAACATCACATGGGTAGGGCTTTTATTTGTAGATTTAATTTTTATTGGCATTGCGAGAGGGTCCAGAGCCTGGTTGGTTGAGTTCAGTTGGTTTCAGGGTGGTTTGTTTGTGAGTGTGAGGAGGGTTGTTGGGTCAGGTTAGTCATAATATTTCATATGCTGCTTGTGGAGGGGATAGGCCATTGTGTTGTTGTGCTGTGTATGTGATAAAGGGGAACCACTGAGATGAAGGCGTCACTCTCCACTTGATAAGAGTTGTTTGCTGCTGATGGAAAGCCTGTTTTGTAAAAACCTATCTTGGCTGACTATAGCCTACCAGGCCAAATTCACAGTTTTACTGTTAGTATATAAAGACCTAAACAGCTTGGAATCAGCTGACCACCTTTCCCCATATACCTGATATTTTAAGTTGGAGATGCAGTTAAGGGTTCCATGTTTGTGTTGCTTCTACAAGACAGAAGGCATTTAAGCATGATTGCACCTAGGTTGTGGAACTCCTTGCCTATTACTATTAAGCAAGCACCATTGGTACTTGGTTTCAGCTGCCTATGTGAGACTCTTGTTGACACAGTACTTTTCTGCTATATAAAGTAGCTCAACTGTCCAGTGATATGCAGTTTGCTGCTGGCAAACTATTTTTGTGTTGTTTTATGGATGTGTTATGCTCGCCACTGCTTACTATCTGATATATAAACCTACAGTATGTACTTACTTCTGAGCGAGTGCCTCATGAATTCTACGATACATATAACACTCTGTATATAGCCAAGGAGACTGAAACCAGCTTGGTGGTCCATCTGATGATTTTTGATGATATTCTAAGCACTGGTTCCACAGAGTGGTGTCAGGGAGGCTATCATTCAAGGAAGTCAGTGGCTTGTCTGCCTGCAGCTCATCTCGTAACTTGGTCAGAAGGACTATAACTTTCTTCTCTGCTTCAATACCTTTCTAAAAGAAAGTAGGAAATAAATACTTTCAATCAAATGTGTGTGTTGATAAAACTTACTTTCCCCCACAAAAAACAAATCTTATTTGATAAATAAAGTGTTTTAAGGACCAGAACAGCTATAAAAAGTCCTTTTCTCAGGAGTTCCTATCAAAAGTGCAAATCCAGAGGACATAGCTCTCAGAGCAGGGAACATAACGGACAACACAGTATTTGAATTAAGCTGAATGAACATTGGCATTGCTTACCTGTCTGTGATACTGGATGTTAATCAAGTAAATGTGGTTTAAGAGTTAGAAACAAATTTCTAAGACCAGGGTTGCCAACCCTGTGCCCATGGGGCATAGTTGTGCCTGAAAGACTTTAACTGGTGCCCCTAGACGTGGTAAGTTATAAAGGAAAATGTATAGATACACTTCTAAGCAATTTTTGTGAAATGAGCAAACCTGGCTGCTTCTACCTGTCAGGTGTTTTTAGCTGATAAGTGAAGTCAGAGCTGTGATTTGGGCACTAGGTAATAGGAATCCACAGGGTCTTAAAGAGACGCTGTTTCTACCTCCCTAAATGTCCTTTTCCTTTCCTGCTTCTGTCTTGCTTTGTGTGCAAAACGTCAACAGATTAGGCATGCAGTCCTGGGAAGTTTCAGTGTGATTGTATCTTTAATTTTGTGTTATGCCATGGCCACTCCCATAGCAGTCATGTTGCTATATTACACCTCCCATGGTAGCCATTTTGTGACTGGAACCCCCAGCATGGTCTCAAAGTTAAAAACTTAAGGCCAATGAAAATAACTGGCAGCAGATTCAGGACAAAAGAAAATGCTTGTTCACACAAAGCATATTTTATTGATATCACTGTGCACAATATGTGATTGCCAAAAGTTAAATGGCTTGAATGGGAATGGCAAATTCACGGGGAAGAAAAGTCTTATCACTATCTAATAGTAACAATGGCTACAGAGAACCTCCATGTTCAGAAGCAATTATGCTACTGCAAGCCAGTTGATAGTGAAAGACAGTGGAAGACAGTGGAAGATGCCTATTCCCTTCAATGTATCTAGTTTGCCACTGGAGAAGCATAAGGCTGGATAAGACAGATCTCTGGTCTGATCTAGCATGGCTCTTCACATGCTCAAATGAAAGCTGATGTTCTCTAGGCATTTGAAACAATTCTCAAAAGGTACGGGTAGACCTAAGATTTCCAATAAAATATCGAGAGAAAAGGTCAAATATACTGATTTCTTACTTCACCATGTTCTTCAAAGAATTCATTTTTATGTTGCTCCAGATTATTGATAACTCTAGTCAGGATTACTGGCAGCTTGTCTTTAATTGTATTGTATGCAAAGGATCTATGAAGAACAAAATATTATATCGATATAATATCTAAATGTGTTTATATTGTAATGTATCCTTTTCTTAGGATTTAAATATTTTTTAAATCACAACTTTCTCCCTGTGTAGGACCCAAAGTGGCTTGCAGCATAAATTAAAACGTACAACTAAAAACAGTTATAAAGAAACATTAAACTGCATAGATAGTATGCTTCAGAACACTGTAGCTCCAGGCTACAGCCCTAAATACACATCACAGTAGGGTTGGTTGGCCCATTATGGAAAATAGAGCACTGTTCTATCATCCTGTCTTGGCTCCTGCCTTCTAACATAGCCAGGCAGGGTGGACCTGGTTGTCAGTTTCCTCTTCCTTAGCCTCAGTGCTTCCTTTGTGGAGTTTGGAAGTGAGGAGAATGGATACAAAAGTAGGATTAGTTGGTCCCCCTTCTCATTAGCTTTACCTACTGTTGGCTACCCTACCAGTCATTAGGTCAGGATTAGAACTACAGTGGTACCTCGGGTTACACCCGCTTCAGGTTACAGACTCCGCTAACCCTGAAATAGTGCTTCAGGTTAAGAACTTTGCTTCAGGATGAGAACAGAAATTGTGCTCCGGCGGCGCGGCGGCAGCAGGAGGCCCTGTTAGCTAAAGTGGTGCTTCAGGTTAAGAACAGTTTCAGGTTAAGTACGAACCTCCGGAACGAATTAAGTACTTAACCCGAGGTATCACTGTATTAGTGTCCTAAACTGTTATTGGACACTTCCACATAGCAGTTTCTGGAGAATGGAAAAAAAACACTATTGGGTTTTCCACAAAAACCATAAATTCACGTTAAATAGGGAAATACCATGGTACATTTTGATGTAGCTGTGAGGATTCAGGTACGGAGCACAGAGTCCACAGCACACTGCTGTATAGAAAAGCCCTTCATTTCCTTCGACCAACTGTCATTTCCCAACTGTGACTCCATGCTCCCTCCAACTCTTAAATTCGAAGTTCTTTTTATTATCTGTACAGTATTCTAATACGATTCGTTTTTCTATTGTTTTAATTCCCTTACACTTTAATTATTTTTAAAATTTCATTTTTGCAAGTTTTTAGCTTTTGTATTTCATCCGCCTTGTCATTTGTGAAAGCCGCTTTCAATCCCGGTCGGGGGGTGGGGGGAATATAATAACAAAAGTCCTGTTGAACACAATGGGATTTATGCCATGAGAGAGAAAACGCTTACGATGCTCTTGCTAGTCAAGGAGCATGGAAAATTGATTTAAGATAAAATCTTATTAAAGCCTTGCGCGAAAAAGGAGACTTTGGACACCGGCCTTGCGCACAAAGCAAACGTGGCACAGGAGCTCAGGGTCTTGGTAAGAGCGGGAGGAAGACCCTGGAAGAGGCCTGGACACAAACTCCCTCTCCCAGCCCCACTTCCGCAGAGCCCTAACGAAGCGGCGGCGGCGGGACGCACCCCTTGAACTTGCCCGCGAGCTGAGGCGGCAAAGTTGCCACCACCGGCGCCGCCATTTTGCTCACTGCGGCGCCTTCCCGGCACGCCACCCGGCGCAGCTACGCGCTTTCCCAAGCAACGCCTGTTGTCATTGGTCGGCTGTTGCGTTCCCTCGCGCAGCGCCCTTAGAATGGGAGCAGAGCGAAGCAGCTCCTTCGGTAAGGAGGCAGAGAAGAGGGGCGGGGGGCGGGGTTGATGTAGAGGAGCGGAGGAGCCTCCTCCTCCCCCCGCCCTCGGGAAAAAGAAAAAAAGGTCACAGGTCTCGTTCTGAGTGGCTATTCGAGATGCGCGCGCATGGAGACGGCTCCGATTAAAGCGCCCGTCCCAGGACTGCGGCGGTTCCCCTGTGAGACCTTCTTCTGTCCTCTTCCGCCCTCACTAGGACCGGGCACAGCTGGCTTCCGCCTCGGATCCTTGGCGCTGAGTAGCTGCGGAGCTAAGAGACGCGAAGTGGGCGGGCGGGGAGAGGGAGCTATTCTTAAAAAGTAAGCTGCAGAAGATAGTTAGGATTCTTGTGTATATTCTATAACCGCAGGCTTACAAAACGGGACACGCAAGGGAGAAGGGACGGGGAGGGAGGAGGAAAAAATCAAACTCAGGCACCAGTTCTTAGAACAGTTGTTCTTATAATGACCAGCTGGCACAGTTGATGGGTAGGAGGTGCCTGATAGAGCTGGGCTTTCAGCAAAGCTGATGATGGAAGGAGCCTTCTGCCTCCCAGATTGCCCACTGAGACAGTTTGGTGGAATGGCTACACTAAGGAGACAGTTGAGGGAGAGGATGGAGCTGGTCACAGCCGAGCCAAAGGAGTGAGACACTTCTAAATTATATATACAGGCAGCTACATTTTTGTGTATCTCCCAGTTGAAGCGTGACCGCCAACACACGTGTTGTTTTCGGCCCTGGAACGGGTTTAAGGGCAACCATGGACAGGGAGTCGCTTGTCATTCATGTCTCAGTTGAGATTATCCCATGTTGTCAGTATCCCTGAACAAGAGTCTGGGCTCTGCAGTAGACTTAAAGCTTAAGATCAATCTAGGCAAGACAAACTTGGAGGAAGAGGGACAGACTATACAGATGAGGAAATACTGGTCCTGGGTGCATACTCTTCTTTAAGGGTGCAGGAAGACCCTTGGACCTGGGATTGTTATTGGAGAACCAGGTGACAATATTAGCTAATTTTTAATAATTACAGGAACAGAAAATAGATCTTGCCACTGTCTCAGTGGCAGGGAGGTACAGAGGTGACAGCCCAACTTAGGTGCTCGTGCAATTTTGTATTGTTTGCATCCCAATGGACTCCAACTAAAGAAAGTACTGCCAGCACCACAATTTTAGCATCAATGTGGGTGTACTAGAGGGAATGTTGAAAATCCATTTTGATTCTACACTTAAAAGATAAAGCTGCTTGACTATCCTTGCACCATGACTTTGAGGAGGTCCATTGATAGATGCTGGTGTTGGAAAAACAAGAGCTTATTGGGATTGTGGGACTGTTTCAACAACTGAAAGTACAATTGAAAAGCCAGAATATATCTAGAATTGTGTAAGATGACTGCACCTGAATACCTTGTTGTATCATAAACCCATCTACCCAATAGTACTAGATTAATTTATAATAATCTAAAGCATATTATACCATAAACTGTTTCACAAGTTTCTTTCTTTAAAATGCAGACTACAGTTGTGTGTGTACTTTTCTTGGGAATTCACTGTTGTGATTTCATGGACTTCCTAACCAAATAGACAAAAACCACTCTTAAATATTCTTAGCAGCACCAAAGTGACCTCACCGGAGCGCAGACCTGAGCAGTGTATACGAAGGTCCCTACCCCCCATTGTTGGCCTCGCTGATGCGGTCCAAAGGAAAATAGAGCGTACAAAGTGCCATCCAACCCAGTGACATTTGTTTTCCAACTAAATAATATAACTGCCTCCCAAATGCCCTTTCCTCCTCACATTTTCCTCTCCTATCTGCTGCAACACTCATCCATCCATTGCTAGATCTCCTCTGCAATTAATGAAATTACTACCTAGCCCACCTCAAAGCACCTGAGCGTATGCAGGAAGGGGAAAATGGGAATGTGGCCTCACCCAATTGCCAATAATCATGTCAGGGCAAAGCCTTCCATCTCTAGTTGTAGTTAACCCACAGTGCTACTTAAAGCCTAGCGTAGCTAGCAAGTGGAAAAAGATGTTCCTTATATGCCAGGTTACTTATTTAAACTACCACCAACTGATGCAGATACCCCTTATACTGGAGAAAGAATTCAAGTCTATCCATTGAATACATTTGAATACATTTATTTATTTAAGCTAATCTTGACCAGAGAAGTTCAGGCAGCTTTAAATTAAGACTTGAGCTACAGAAAAGCAAAAACTTTTAGCAAATCAAAGTGCAATATTTTGTCGTTAATGTTAGAATAGAGGTCAGACAAACCGCAGCTACTAAAGCTGCTCTCACTCAGTGTTTCCTCTGTCAAGCATTCTTTACTTACAAATATCTAAGAATAATGACATTTTCATTTTTTAAGACCATGAATACCAGAAAAAGGTTTGTAAAATGTCACAATTGCACACCACCTTAAAAATAGCAGTAAGACCCGTAGAAGAGAACATGCATATTGAAAGCCAGCGGTCTTTCAACCTTGACCAACAAAAGCATTTAGCACAGCACTGTCCTTTAAACATTGCACATCAATCATGAAGCAGCATCAAACTGAATTATTCCATATTTCCCAATGATCATCCATTCAGGTTCAGTATTAGTAAGCTGTTCACCTTGCCCAGGTTTCAGCCCAACCTGGATATCACATTTTAGCGTTCTTAAGCTACAGAGAGGGGCAGGGTGAAAATTGTTCAAGGCTTGATGGAATGGCACTGTGAATTCCCACTTCCGATCAGCTATCAACTTTCTGTAGTTCAAATCACCTTTAAAAATAATTAAATTTGACTTCTGCAATTCACTGTACAAATCAGGAGCCACTTGAGCCATCCTACAATATTCATGCGGCGAGGTCCAGAACAAGTGATCATGATAAATCCAAAGGCCATTTTTCAAATAGCCCTCCCAGCAGACACCACACCTAGACATCCCCTTGTGATTAGCTGCCTGCATTTGCTTAATTGTCCAATTCAGGTCACGCCTTGTAGTATCTGACACATACCATGGGATGCTTTTCCCATGGAAATGAATTTCAGTAGCTAATTTGGAGGATAACAAGAAGTCAGACAGTATAAGGTCAGCAGTAAGTTCAAAACCAGCATTATCCAGGACTATGTCAAGTCTAGTAGTCTGCTTATTCATGTTCTTTTTGTTTATAAGCAGTGACCAAAGCTTTTCCATGTGATCCACCAAGATAAAAGGTTTTAACTCTTCCACAGACTGTAATGGGTCAGACTTCTGAGAACTATCTGCACCGGCTGACAGTGAAAGGTCACACTTATTGCCCCACAGTGAAACCTAAAAGAAGAAGAAAAAGTACACAGTCCCTGTGAGCTGAGTAATGCCTTGTTGCACTACCTATCACATATATTTAGATTCAGATTTAACGGCATATTTGAAAAAGCTGGATTCCCAGTAGTCAGCTGTTTAGCAGAGAAGAACGTCTGAATCAATCTTCTTACTTCTGAACAACTGATTGAGGGGATTCAATCTTACTTTAAAAATATCAACTACCTTTGTTGGATTAATCTGGGGAACCATGCACACAGCACCCATTTACATAAGCTATTCCATATCACGATAGGGTTAAGGATAGGGATATGGACACTGAAGCCTCCTTCGAAGTACATATATCCCTTATTTAGAGCAGGATGCTGATTTATGTGGTGGGGGGGAGAATCCATTTTATTATTTATTCAATTTATATTCTGCCGTTCCCCAACCCAGGGCAGCTAATCATCTTCTGAATTGTGGAGCACAGCTAACTCCCAAGTTTCTAAATTCAAAAGCAAAAACTACATCCATCATACTTTAGTCTCAAGTTTAGGTAATGTTTATTAGTTTTCAACAAATAAGCATCACATCAATAACTTCGTCAGGACACCAAAATCAGGTTCCAATGAGGGATAAGTGACAACAGATTATAAGTGAGAGAAGAAAAACAGAAGGAATGTAAATGCTATTTTGTGAAAGATAATCGGGAAGCCATGGGTATAGCAGAAAATTAATTTCAGAGAAATTAACATCTCAAAAACATCTATTTCAGAGCTGTGAAATAATTATGTGCATGAAAAAGAATTATGTGCTTGTTTCTGTGCCCCAATATTAGAACTGCAGCCAATGATATAAGAATTTTACTCACCGTTTAAAACAACATTGCAGAGAACAGTATATGAGTTGTTGAAGGATCTCAACTTTCTTAAAATTATTCTGCTGGCATGGAATAATTTTTCAACATTTCTTATCAGAAATGTGATATGTCTCCTGTTTTACATTAGGCCATCTTTGAAACAAGAAACTTAAAAATTATAGAATATGTGCAACATTAAATAAACAGTAAGTATTACTAGTTTTACCTGAAGCAATTTTAAAAATTCCTTTTTCAATAAATTTTCATCTAGCTTCTCCACGTTTTTCAATATATCTTGCAGATAAGTACTCATTAGAATTATAGCTTGTTGAGATTCAAAGAAATTGTGTACCTTTTCTTCTTTAAACACATCAAAGTCACTGATGAGTGGACTAAACAGAAAAAGGGGGAAACATTAATTAGTTTTTGACCTTAATAAATACTGAAGACCACATCCACATGTTGAGCTCCCCGCCCCGCCAATTGCTTACCCTGTGACATGGTGCTATGTTGTATACTTCCACACCCCAGCTCAAAGTCATTGGCCTCATTCACAAAATGCTAAGCCAAACCACTGCTAAATATACATAAACAAGTATACTTGTGCAAAACTAGGGCACTTCACTCTTTCTGGGGTCCTGCTGTTGCTCAGCTATTGGGAGCTAAGCCATGGTTTGGCTTAGTGTTACACGTGAATCTCAGCTTGTGGTTTGTCTCACTCCAAACCTTAGTTATACAGCTCACTGTCTGTCTAGAGAAAAGCAAGCTAGGAGCACATTTGCACATAACCATAAGCCAAACCATGTGCTAGCTCTTGGTAGTGTAGCAGCAGCGGGAGGAGTGAACTACCTGTGATTTCCTAACCGCACTAGCACATTGCTTATTTATGTTAAGCCACACTTTGGCTTAGGGTTATGCGTGAATCAGAACACATAATGTAACATGTAACACTCAGCCAAACCATGGGTTAGCTCCCAATAGTGTAGCTACAAAGAACAACAGGAAGTTCCATCCTTAGTCAAACAGGTTTCATTTTACTATGTAAATGTTAGAAAGGTGTTTGAGAACAAATACAAAAGTTCTCAGATTCTCCCTGCCCCTGCTCATCATACTTGTAGCATTCATCATAAATACACCAATCCATCCCACCACTACTCTTTTTCCTTGGCCAAGAGCAGAAAGCAGGAATGTTTAATCTGCAGTTCATATTTACCAAATAAGATACATGCAACAAATATATAAAATCAGAAGCAGCCTTCTGCATTGGTCCAATGTAGTTCAGTACTGTCTACACTGACTGGCAGCAGCTCTTCAGGGTTTTCATACAGAACATTCCCATTCCTACATGGAAATGCCAGAGATTGAAACTGGGAGCTTATGCTTGATAAGCAGATGCTCTATTACTGAGCTGCAGTTGTTCCCTATTACCCAACTCTGACCAGTGGTTTGGATGTGGTACACAAATGCATGAGAAGGAAACAATAGCTTGAGTTAGAAATATAACAGGAATATTTCATATTTTTCCCCTCCCTTATTAACACACATGGCCCCTGTCTAATAAAAATGACAGAAGTACAGAAATCAAATATCTGAAGTTGTTCAATATAAAATGTTTTTTGTTATTTAAAATAATTAATTCATAAGCAAAGCACACATTTCTTGACATTTTAATGAGCTTATACGACCTTTTATAGAGAAATAATTCCAAGCAATAATATATAACAAATAAACATTGTAATTATGAAACACAGAATGGTTTCAAAATTGAAACGAACTTTACATTTTTTTCTTCCCAAGAAACAAGGTATTCCTTCATCCTTCCAGGAACAGGAGAAAATAATGTTAACAATTTTTTCCTCATCATTTCAATGTCATCTGATAGGACTCCACATACAATCTGTACTCCAGATTTGGGTAACTACTATATCCTGAGGCACTGTATAAGCTGTGAAAGTGGGTTATAAGTTACGTAAATTAATATAATTATTCTTAACACATTAACTTTACAGTATTTTTCAACTGATTTTTTTATTTTATTTGATGGCTGTTTTTCTATGGGTGGGGTTCAAAAAAGAAAGTAGCCAACAATTTTCGTTTCATTCAATTAAGCTGTAGGCTAAAGTGAACAAATCACTTACAGGTCTATCATTAATCAGAAAGCAAAGGAAGAAGAGAATTACAAGGACTTCAAAATTTGTAGCAAGAAGTGACACTAAAATTCCAACTTGTAGTTATACTATACCTACTAAATTAGGTTTTGAGGTAGATTAGAAAATATTAAAAATGCATGAAATAGACAAGAGTCACTAGGAAGGAACAAAGTTCACCTTCCCCAGTCTTCAGATGTTCCACTGGCACTCTGCTGTTGATCTGTGTACCGCATAGCAGGTTTCAGAGGAAATAACCGAAGCCCAGAAATGGCTGTTGGAGTCCTTCACAGGATGGTGTCTATTTACCCAAACTGCTGCTATGTTGCTCTGGCTCTTGGTGCCAGATGCAAGAGGCAACTATTACTCTGTTGCTGACTAGAAGTCAGGAGAAGGAATAAAAAAAGGAAAACAGCTGGCACTTAAGATTGAGTTATTTTCTCTGTTTTACCTTAAGCTTGAACTTTATTCCCCAAATCCCCATCCCACAGACGGAAACGATACAACAGCAAACAACACACATGCTTACTTTTGAGCGAGTGCCTCGTGAATTCTACGATACATATAACACTCTGTATATAGCCAAGGAGACTGAAACCAGCTTGGTGGTTCATCTGATAAACTTTGATGATATTCTAAGCACTGGTTCCAGAGAGTGCTGTCAGGGAGGTTATCAGTCAAGGCAATCAGTGGTTTGTCTGTCTGCAGCTCATTCCGTAACCTGGAGAGATAGGCTATAGCTTTCTTCTCAGATTCAATACCTTTCTAAAATTAAGAGAAAATGCAGAGATAAACAAATGTTTTCAATCTGAATGTGTTTTGTTCATAAAGTTATGTTTTTCAATAAATTGTAGGGTTGCAATAACTTGACTGAATTCCAATCGAAAGTGCAAGTCCAGAACCCAAGTGTCAAACATGACAACCAAATGCTTTAGTCCATAGGTAGGCAACTTGTAGCCTCAGGGCCTAGGGTGACTGAGACGTTACAGGTTTATAAAATTATGCATGGCATGGGAAAAGTGGACAGAGAATTCTAGAACTTGGGGTCATCTGGTTAAACAGATGGCAGCAGATTCAGGACAGAAAGTACTTGGTCACACAAGGAATAATTTATGTAATTCACTGCCAAAAGATGTGATGAGGGCCACTAGCTGAAAAGGCTTGAATGGAAAATTGAGACAAATACATGGGCCACTAAGGATACTGGCTCTTTAGTTTGTGCTAGCAAGGCTCTTTGTATGTTCTTATGGAAGCAGAAAAATATTTCCTTAAGCATGCAGAAATAATTACACAAAGTTTGATTTGCTTAATGTTTTTAAGAGAACAGCATTGAAAGAGAAAGAATAAAAGGCAGCAATTTCTTACTTCTCCATGTTCTTCAAAGAATTCATTTCTGTGTCGATGCAGAGTATCAATAACTTTAGTCAGGATTAGAGGCAGCCTATCTTTAATTGTATTGTATGCGAAGGATCTATGAAGAACAAAACAATGTTGTTTTAGGCTTGTAAATAGCCACTTCCATCACCATCAGAATCACCATCAGGCAACTTTATTAAAGTTAATTTCTACACAGAAGGAGTAAACTGCTGTGTTCAGATATCATGGTAACCCATAATTATGTTGGCTCACAAAGTGAGCCTCACCTCCTCCCAAGCTTGCATACTCCTTCCCTCCCTGTTGTAGATAAGACAAGCTTGGAAAGTTTTACTTCCATTTTCAATAAACCAATGCTCATCTTCTTGCTTGAACTTGACGAACTGGTTAAACTTTGTTTGAAACATGCCATATTTAAGATTAACCACAATTTACGGTTGTAAAAAATTGAAATTAGACGTGAAAGCTTCTCATCACCGCCTTGTGGCTCTGGAGGAGAAAGAGCAGAGGGAAGGAGCCCAGGTCTATTATTCTTATACACAATAAATTATGGTTTATCATGATGTCTAAACACAGCCTTTTTCTAAACCTCTCATACCCCTCCACACCACATCTCAATGCAAACACAGTATTTATCACACTGAAACATTGAAGCCATTAAGATTTTGCCCAACTGATATGCAGTCCTAAGCAATACACTGATTCCATATATGAAAATTAAGCAGGAATATTACTTCCAAGTGTCCAGACTTGCGGGGGGGGGGGAGTTTTGTGGTCTTAATCTCACACAGCTTACCATGGAAAATAAAGGATGGATTATTGCAGTTACACTTCATCTTCATATGTTCACAGCAACTTCCTTAAACCATGTCCCAGACCAATAAGAACTTGGTCAAATAAGCTAAATATTCTAATTCATATCTAAAGGATGGTATTTATGACTCTGGGTAACACTTTTAATAATCTTTATCTTAAAACCAAAATGTCAGTCTTCAAACATTCATTTAATTTGTTGAAAGCCGCCTAGAGTAGCTGGGGTTACCCAGTCAGATGGGCACCATATTATTATTATTTCTTTACTATTAACAAATAAACAACTTAGTTCTCTTCAAAAAAGAGGAGGGGGGAGACAATGCCTTGTTTCTGATGTCAGTACATCTGAATTATTGTCTAGAATAGTAAGAAAATGTATGATTTGTTAATCAATGGCAATTCAAGTATTATTGCTGGGTTTCACAGTAGATAAACATATTTTCAAAACTGGTTTTCATAGAATTGTACAGTTGGAAGGGACAAGGATCATCTTGACCCCCTCCCAAGCCCTTGCACTGCCTTCCCAAAGCAAAGTAAGGAGGCGCTTGGCTTTGGGAAGGAGGCGTGAGGGCTCTGACAGGGTCCTAGAGCTCTCACGCCTCATTCCCAAAGCCTAGTTAGCACTTCCCAGCTTTGAGGAGGCAGCAGGGCTCTAGGACCCTGCCAGAAGGTTATGGTGTGTGTCAAATTTTGGCCTCACTACCCCCCCCCCCAGCGCCCCACCTCCCATGACAAGCAGCATGCAGTCCATAGGTTCTGTGTCAAATAAAACTGCATGGTTAAAATAAAATGTAATACGGGAGAATACAAACATATTGATTAGATAGTCCTCTGTCAAAGACATTGCTCAAATCATGATTTGGACATCTCAAACTTAGCTTCACATACGCTCTGTTCCTCTGACTTAACTTCCTGGTTTTGCCTCAAGCCTGAATGGGAAACTCACTTCTAATTCCGGCTCAGAAACATGTATGGTTTATGCTTTGTTGCGACGTAATAGAAAACTTGGTTTTGCAAACCACCGAGTGATTTGCAGGAGGAGCAGGGAGGACGTGAATACTTGCAGCACGAGGGTTGGAGCGGACCCAACCACCCTCTGACAGCCGAAAAAGGCCACTGTCTTCCTGGCTTCTATTGCGAAACCTCCCTTTCCCAACCAGAAGCGGTTCAAAGTGCGGGGAACAGGCACCCCTCTGAGACCGCAAATGCCACACTCGCAAATAATTCGCGGAGGCAGCTCCGAATCTGGAAGCCGGCTTTCCGTGCAAAGCGAACTGGAGCTCGGAGGAAGAGCAGAAATGGAAACAGCGGCTCACTAGAGTGCCGCGTTTTCAGCCGCCCCGGCTCTCCGAGCGAGGAGGGGAAGAGACCCGGACCCTTGTCCCCTGGTACTCTACAGCTCCAGACTCCCCGCGAATGGCCGACGGTTCACCCCTCGCCCACCCGTTTCTCAGAGCCCCCGACGAAGCGGCGGAGACGGGACGCACCCCTTGAACTTGCCCGCGAGCTGAGGCGGCAGCGTTGCCGTCGGCGCCGCCATTTTGCTCATCGTAGCGCCGCCCGGCGCAGCTGCGCGCTTTCCCAAGCAACGCCTGTTCCCATTGGCCGGCGGCTGCGCTCCCTCGCTCAACGGGCTTAGGGAGGAGGGGCGCTGAAGCAAACCAGCCCCTTCGGTAAAGGAGGGCGGGCGGAGGGATACACAGCCAAACGAAACGCGAGGCCTTGCGGGTAATCGCCTCCTGAGGAGGAGGTGGCGACCTTCATCGGCGCTCTGGGGCGGGGAATATGACGTCACGCGTCAACCGCACAGACGGAGGGGCGGGGCTGACTCTGTGGCTCCGCCGGCCCTCCGTGGAGAGAGCGGGTCCTCCTCCCACCTTGTGCTTCGGCGCCAGGTTGGTAAAAGGCTCCTGCGCGTGGAACTGGGTCTCCCTCTGATTGGATGGTGTTGGGGGCGCGCGCATGGGGCAGAGTGCGAGCGGAGGGGGGGGTCATTCCTCCCGCACCCGCTTAAAACGCCCTAATCGGATACTGTGATGGTCACCTGCGGCGGGTCGCCTCTTGCGCTCGCAATATGGTTCCCAGCGGAGTCCTTCCCCGCAACCTTCCGGTCTTGTTAGTGGGAGGAATGGAGGCGCTCTGGCATGAATGCGGGAAGCGGTGTGGGTTTCACCCTTGATTTCACCTGTCACCTGGGCGCTGTAAGGGCGGGTTTCAGGGCAAGGCTGGGAAGATACTGAGGCCCTACGGCTCCCATGATTCCTGGGCATTTCCCATGTTTCCTGTAGTTCCCGGGGGCCCCGGAGTCCAGCTTTTTCTGATCCAAATAATACTAATATGATTGGTGCAGGAATGGCCTGGCCTGAGGGAGAAAATTCCGCAGTGGAGGAAAGATTGGACCTGTGTTGAGGTATCCGGCAGTTGTAGGGGGAACGATCATGTGAGTGACAGTCAAATGCAAGATAGACCATTAAGGCAGCACTTCTCAAGCTCTTGAAACTGGGGTTCTGCTTCTCAGTTACCGTAATTCCATTCCACCCAGCTCAGCGCTGACAATCTTTATGCAGGGGAGTGCCTAGTTCTTTCACAAAACTGTGTTTATGTGGCCTGAAGCTAGATAATATGGTAGGAGCTCCTCCATCTGTACATTGAGCGGAGCAAAGTACATTGAGCAGTGCCAAGTCTCACCTGCAGGGATGAGAAGAAGTGGAAGGTGTCATATGAGCTTCTGTCACTATAATTTCATCTCCTCACATCTCACAGCAAAGTTGTGCCATCTACTTGAAGGCAGAGGTGACTGAAATGCCAAACCTTCACTAGTGGACCCCAGCTACTGTAGGGCCATTCCCAAATAATTTTCCTTTAGGTGCCCTATGCCACACCACAATCTAAGAACCTAGGGTCTAAGGAATACATTTTGACCTTATTCAGTCAGAGTACCATGCTATTCAATGTGTTTCAGTGTATGATGTGTCTAATTTATTAGCCTATCCTTCTCCCCAGTTGGTGAAACTGAACTATCACTGTCTTAGTCACTGGCTGACTCACAGATTCTGTTGAGTATAGACGGCACTATTTACCTTTGGTTGGTTAAAGTTATGCTACAAGGAAGAAAGATGCATCTCCCAGTTTGCCGTTAACCAAATTTTAATATGTTTGAGAACAGATATTTTGATGAGAATATTCTGATCTGACCCTGTGTTTGGCCATTATGTTGCTGTGGTGGGTAAAGTAAATGTATTGCTGAAGTCTTCCTTGCTTGCTTCATTTGAAGCTGAGCCTATGAATGCAGAACGAGCCCTATTATTGATGTGATTGACTTGCTGTAGTGCAGAACTGTTTTTATAAAATGATAAATATTGCTCCTTGTCAGAAAGTTGATGCACTATAACTCTCTCATTCAGGACACAGTGAAAAGATGGCAACTAAACTGCTGAGATTCCTGGCTAGATCTTCACACAAAACAAGCCACTGCCAACACTTGCATAAATATGGGCTTTCAGCATCAAGCAACAATCTTCAAGGGGTGTCAAGCAATTCTTTATTAGCATGTAGATCCATCAGTATGTGCATTCCAGAGGCAACAACATCTTGCTTAAGCAGGCTTTGTGTGCAAACCAAGGAATGGCAGAGACCACAAGCTAATGTTCCTACTGCAGCAAAGACTGTGAATTATTTGAGTATGCATGTTTGTCCACCACACAGGGAACAATTTTGTGCTCTTAAAAACACAAGTTTCAAGCACAATGCAAAGTGTATGGGAAAATTTATGGATATACCAAATAGACATTATTCAGTTTTATCAAGTAGTAAAATTATGCCAAATCAACATATTTTGCCAGCTAAAAGGCTACCAAAAGCATCGAGGACCAAGCAGCCATCTAGAGCTAATCTGCCACTACCGTCTGAAACTGAGGTAAAGTATTAAAACTTTGAAGTGTAGTACTTATAACACTGAAGGGTTATGAAGACCAGAATAATGTTTCATAACAAGTATTATGCAGGAATGAGAAAACTCCTGTCTTCCTAACAGTACAGGGTGGGACAGCCCATGAATGCATGAACTCTTTCTTGACCCAGTTCCTCAACTTTGGCTGTGTCGATGACTGCAGACTAAGGAAGAGCGTTCATGCACAAATATGAGGTTTCGTTTTCTTTTTACTGAAGTCCATATGGCTCTTGTCATGTTACTTCTATTTTCATTCCTGCCTTAGTGGTGGCATTTGAGTGCTGTTGAAGATATGTTGCATCAGTTTTGGTGTGAGGGGGCTTGCTAGGCACAGTTTAAGACCCTCTGTGAATTAAAAATAATATTCACTTAAAATGCATGATAAAAACCCTAGATAGAACAAAAATGAACCTGCTTAAATTGTGAAAAGAAAACCAGTATTTGAATAGATGTGGCATTTAAATATACTCAGCAAGCAACTGCTTCAGGGTTAGGGAGCTGAATCTGGATGGTGATTTGGATTCCTAATTCCCTCAATTCCTTCAGGCCAGCTTGGACAGGTGGGAAGGAGCACCCACCTGTCAGTCACCTGGTGTCATAACGACATCAGGTGATTGGTACCTGTTAAATCTGAAAGGAGGTTGCTGTATCTGCCAATCAACTGATTGGTGGATTTGGCAACCTCCTTTGAAGATGTACTTTCAGCACCAAGCAGCTGATTGCTCCTTGGAGCGTGTCTTCAAAGAGGCTTGCTATAAATACTGATTGGCTGACTGGCAGCTACAGAGAGCCCCTCTGAAATCTATGGGTAAAGTCGGCTTGCTGCTCTCTAGAAATAAAGAGCAGGCAGAAGGCTCTTCTAACATCAGAAATACCCCCTGCCTGCTCTTTAAGAGTAGAAGGCAGCATTTCTACCTACCTTCATTCCAGCGCTGAAGTGGGATGGAGAGAAATACAGCTGCTTACTCTGCAAAGTAAAAGGCAGTGTTTTCAGCCACCTGGAGTGGACAGACATGGAAATGTTGGTTATGTGACTGCACCTGTGTGTGCATGTGTTTATATGTAAGAGTGTATGAATGCATATATTTCAGAGAGAGAGAGAAGAGACCATGTCTAGTGAGAGTATATATGTGCCTTGTGTATGTATATGTGTGTGTGGTGAGGGGTGTATATAGAGTGTGTGTATACAAATGTGAATATGTCAGCTAATCACGCCACTGGCATATAACCCTTAGAGGGGTGGTTGACCGTCAATGCAGCCCTTGGGCCAAAGCAGTTTAGCCACTGCTGCACTGTAGAGCACAGCTCTGAAAACCCTAGCTGGCTCGCAGATGGTATCAATATAGACTAACAGTAAACTATGGTTACTTTTCTAGTCTCAGTCTAAACCAGGGGTCAGCAACCTAAGGCCCATAGGCCGGAAGCAGCCTGCAGAGGTCATTTGACTGGCCCACGAGCCGCCCCCAAACTGAGCTGCCTGCTCGCGCACTGCGCTAAACTGGTGCAGCATGCACGGGGACTTGCTTCTGCAGCACCGAAAATCGTGTCTGTGCAGACGCAGAGGCCAAAAATCGCACGCACGCAATCCGGCTCATGGAGGGATCACCGTGCGACCGAACAGGCCAGGCAAGATAAACCTTACTGACCCCTGGTCTAAACCATTCCTTTTTTAAACATCTGCAGTGAACCACATTGTGAAGTAGGCATGAGAATTGTAGCTGGAATATACCTGACAATATTTTTTACTAGTCAGCTGAAATGTGCAAAAAGTGACTCTGAGCACAGGCAAGAATGCTTTTATCTTTCCACCAAAGATAAAAGAAGGAGAAGGGCTTTCATCAGACAGAAGGCTTCCTCCCAGGCTGGAGTCACTGTACTTTCCTATGTAGAAGCTACACTACCTGCCCCCACCTCCCTTGCAAGTATCCTCAATACAGGAACTGAAGACTACAGACACCCCATCCAGAAATAAAAGAAAACCACCATTCTTTCAAATCAAACATCTTTTTATAAAAATGTTTCCCCCAGAGCTTGCCAACTTTTTTTTTGGCCTTAGGCAGTATATTTTTCTTAATAAATGTTTAGGGGTACTCTCATTTTGACTCAAGAAAATCACCATTTTATAGTTCAAAATAAATACAGTAAATGGACAAAAGTACAAAGATTTACAAAATGCTTAGGAGTATCTGTACCCCCAGAAAAAAAGCACTGGCCTTAGGTAGGTTCTTTTTTTGCTCCCTCCCCCAAAGAGCATCATTTGTTTTCATAATTGTTATATAGGGTGAAATTTCTGTGTAATTCGTGATGCAATCTCCCAAGTGCTGCTCCTGGTCAAGTTGCATTGCGACAAGCGTTTGTGTGCGTGCGCGCGCGTGTGTGTGTGTGCATGCATGCACATATTGTGCTATGTGGAATATGCTCTTAAGTTTCCATGTCACTGAATTGCAGGTTGGTTACTGAAAAGACTGGTGTTTTAAACACCCAAAACATTTGGGGGGTTGTAATTACACACAAATAAATGTTTTGCAGAAACCTTTTTCTGTTGCTGTGCTTTTTTCCATCTCAAAAATACAGGGCAAAGTGTCAGACATGGTGAAAGGGTAGGTTACTTCAGTGAAAGCTGCCACATGGAAAAACCTTGTGCCAGAGATTGCACTGACTCAGACTATAGTACATAAAAACATTTGGAGTTACAAAATTGTCTCTTTCTTTGATGCAGAGCACCACCTGCTGGATGTTAATGTTGGATTTTTTGCAAGGGCAAGTGTTAATCTTGACACACACCAGATAACAAAATACTTGTCAGTAACACATTTTTTTAGATTATATGAAATGTTGAAGTTAACCAAAAAATACTTTATTCCAGTTACAGAAAATGAGAGTAATCTTTATAATGCTGCCTTTTTAAGGGGAGAGAAAGAAGGGGATAAAACGTTTGGGCAGTAATTTACTCAAGTACCTCACTTGCAGCCTGGTTTTATTTATTTGGAATTGAATCCTACAAATTCTGTTGGGCTTGCACCCAACTAAGTTTGTATACGATCATAGCCATATTGCATTTGAGTCTTTTGCATCTCTTTACACCCCTGCAAACTCCAGGATGCTTCCAGAGGGCCTGCTCTGGGTCTTGTTCAACAGGCAAAATGAATAAATAAGCCTATTGCAATATCTTACACATGGAATTTTATACCATGGTATTCATGAAAGGCTTGCAGTTTGAATTTTAATTCTAGGATTTGTGAAGCACAGTGGTTTTACCTATTAGCAAAATGCTAGGATAGCTCTCCTAGTATTTGTGTGAAATTTGCATTTTGATACCAGGGGTCATAGAACAGTCGAGTGTATCACAGTGCTGGTGAATAAGTCAAATAAATGTCCTCTAAATATATCACTTGATTGTTTTCTTAAACTAAACTTTGTTCCTTTGGCACAGGATCTGATGCAGTGCACAGCCTTTGCAACAGCAGAAGAATATAATCTTGGTACCCTATGCCATGATCTGACGTCATATGGCTATGTTGAAATAACAACATTACCTAGAGGTAGACCTCTGAGCAGTTTGCCCCTCTTCTGTTGAATGCATGGAACACAGTTCCTCTTAGTAATAAAACTGCAGTGTTTATATCAACTGTGGAATAATGATTATCACCTTGTAAAATTCTCTTTCAAAACTTTCTGAACAGAAATGCAACTTGAAACATGCTCCATTGCATGCTGTAATGTGGCTTAGCTGCTACTGCACCAAAAACATACCTATTTAATCTTTCTAATGCTATGAAATGAGACAAACACTTTAAATACTTAGAAGCACATTGGCAAAACATTTTCCTATTATCTGTTCTTTGTGGTAATCCTCTCCACTTTCTTGTATATTTTCTGATATTTTTCCTGAGCAGTTTAAATTCATAAGAGCAATTTGGTAGGCAAGCATTGTAAAGTAATTCAGATATATTATTTATTACATGAGTAAACTGAGGAAGGGCCTCGTATAACGGCTTATCGGTTCTTAAATTGAACATAAATTGTCACTCTAGATCAGAGGGTAAAACAATACCACTGTTGAACATACTTTTATTTGCAGATGTTGACAGCATTTCTTTTCATCAATGCCTGTAGATCTTTAATCTGAAAATAGCACTTGTACACATGTACAAGTGAAAAGAAAAAGTTGCCATGTGTATTCTGCATGCAATATACGTACTCCTATTCACATCACCAGCCATCCTAGAGCATGAATTCTGTAATGCTTTTGGAAGCGCTGTACTGCAAACTTCCTCTGCTGTGCTATATAGTGCTAAAGGGCTTGAGGCTTAGGTGTGGAGCTGTATGAGTACTTCAAACCCCTAATTCTGTTTTCAGTATACAGTGGTACCTCGGGTTACAGACGCTTCAGGTTACAGACTCCGCTAACCCAGAAATAGTACCTCGGCTTAAGAACTTTGCTTCAGGATGAGAACAGAAATCGCGCAGCGATGGCAGGAGGCCCCATTAGCTAAAGTGGTGCTTCAGGTTAAGAACAGTTTCAGGTTAAGAACAGACCTCCAGAACGAATTAAGTTCTTAACCCGAGGTACCACTGTACTAGGAACTGTTATGGACTCAAGCAGGCCAAATCTCTCTCTCCCCACATCAGCAAGTGGTACCTTTAACATTTCAAAGGTTCTGAAATAGGACTACAGTGGTACCTCTGGATGCGAATGGGATCCGTTCCAGAGCCCCGTTTGCATCCAGAAGCGAACGCAACCCGTGTGTGCGCGGGTCACGATTTGCTGCTTCTGCGCATGCATGTGACATCATTTTGACCACAGCACGCAACCCGAAAATACTTATCCCGAAGCTACTTCAACCTGAGGTATGACTGTATATTAAATGGACACATGCAATGCAACCCAGTAGTTTTACTTAGATGTAATCACCACAGTTCTCAGTGGGGTTTAGCCCAGATAATTATATCTGGGGTTGTAGGGTAAATGTTTTACAGGGTTTTAAATGCTGTTTCTGTGTCTCAGAATATGATTCCAAATCTGCTTTCTTTTAAACAAGATGCAGCAAACGTTTTGGTGATCGGTACAGAAAGCTCAGCGAAAGAATATGATCCTGGAATAATTTTTTTCTTCAGGTAAACAATGCCCAGCAATAAAGTGCATGTGAACTAAAAAAATTATTGTAACACAAAATGATAGGTTTTATTGCTTAGCTTGATAGCAACTCTGGGACTTGGGCTTCAAAAGGCCTTAACCCCCAAGCAACTACAGATCTTCCCCCCTCCCTCTTTGCTGTAATGAAGGAGGCTGGGGTGGCAGCGCTTCCCTAAGGCCATCAGCTATACACAAACTCCAGAGTAATTCCCAATGAGTACAGGGGCAGGGACTGACAATTGCAATTTCATGCCTTTCTAGATATGTATAGAATTGTACTATGTGATGGCCAGCCTCTCCACTCTATATTTTTTTGAGAATAAATAATTGCAACCATTTAAAAGTTTTTTAAAAGCTAAAAAGTTGAGGACTGTAGGTTTAACAGTCTATATTCAGTCTGCGTCAGTTTCACATCAGTACCGTCATAAATTGATTCCATGCTGTTTCTGCCTTATTCTGGGTTTTTTAAAAGTCCATTAAAAATTGTATTTATGTACTTAATTTTTAATCACAAAATATTATTTAAATATGTATTTTCCCCTCAGTGTATGCATCTGTATGTTTCTGAGCCAAGTATTGCCACTAAAATCTTAAAGTATAATTTTGTTTTGATTGTGTATTAATTTGGGTGTGAATTATGTCAGTTCACTTAAAGTGGAACAAGCTAAATTCTTCTCCGTCCTTATCTAGAATAGAGTATTTATTCTTGCCAAGAAATACACATGTAAGCATGAAACATAATCTGTGCTGCTAACACCACCTTGAAATTCTGTTCATACAGGGAAGGATCTGTTGTGTTCTGGAATGTTGAAGAAAAAACAGTAAGTGGAAGCCAAATTTTATGAGGTAAACTCCATTGGTCTTTGCAGTTCCACAAAATAAAATGGTTTGGCTAGATTTAAGTGTAGATTTAGCAAATGCTATTAATGTATCTTTTTACATTTTACAGTCTAATTTTTCAGTTTTTAAAAAATTGTATATGAAGGGCAGTGGGAGTTTTTGTCCCATGTCTTTTGATGCTTTTATTTTTTTAAAAAAACTAAGTTATTCACAATGATGTATTTCTGCAAGTTGTTATTTGAGAATAAAGACAATGTTGTCAGTGTAGAAAATTGTAGGAAATCAATGAGATGAGACAGAAGATATTATGGGTCGTGGCCATGTGCAAAGTAGAGCCAGACTCTGAGAGGAGTTGCGTTTTGCCTTTGCAAACACAGAGTCCCACATCTGCGCCTAACAAAGTTACAGAAGTGTGGTGTCAGAGGTTGCTTGTAGGGGGGAAAGTAGTAGGAGGCAGGGATGCTTAACCTCTCTCACACATACCATTTTAGCCTTCCTTCGCACACCCTCCTCTTTTTAAGGTTTATTCCTCTAATGGGCTTGCTTCCAGTTTCAGAGCCCAGATTAAGAAAAAAACAAAAACTGCCTGAGACCATTTTCTGGGGGAGGGATTGAGAGATGGGAAGTGTGAAGCATTTCCTCTCCTAGGTCAATTCTCCCTTTGTAAGTACGCCTCTCTCTGCCCTTGTATTTGCATTGTAAGGAAAAACTGGAGTTGTTTTCCTTGTGATGTGCAGTTCCACCCTCCCTCTCCATGGTATTTCAAAACTGGCTGAAGGCACCATGACTGTTAGCCTGCAGGTTTATATGATGACCTCCTAGCATTTGTCAGCAATTCTAATATGCAGGATCTTTTCTAGATGAAGAGTATCATGCAAGTGCTGGAAAGGCATGAAATTCAGCCATACGAAGTTGCGCTTGTTCACTGGGAAAATGAAGAGATGAACTACAGATTAGGAGAGTAAGTGTTTGTATGTCATCAAGTGCTAGTTTCTGTGCAATGTAGCTTCTTGCATCTATTTGTTTCCTGAAAACATTGCTAAATATTTACGCTACTCTGCCAGCTTGTTTAGACCTCCCAGAATCTTTGTAATAAAGCTGCATTTGCAATTCCTTTGCAAAGTAAGAAAGTATTGCCATTGCCATCTTTGAGACAGGGAGCATAAAAATATTCTTATTTAAATAATAATAAAAACCTTTAGGGAACTGGGGACCACTGCCTCTCGTAATGAGGTTCTGTATTAATAACTTCATTGGTCCCTTTATAAGCCACAAGGGACATGGATCAGCAAGCGATTGCACACATCCAACCAGTATCTTCAGTCTGCACCAACTGACACTCATTCCAAGATAAATTAACCTTCAGAATCACCTGCACTAACTTAAGAGAAAGTAATGGTGGATGCAACTGACCTCAGAAAGGAATTGCAATGGGCCACTGAGAGTTCTGTCGCCTCAGTCGGCCAGCATATATACTTGGCCCTTTAAAAAAAAATTCCCAAATAACTTGCTAAGCAGCTTTTGAAACTCCCTGTTCAGGTGAAGAGCTTTTCTTGTTTGACAAATAGAGTTGAAAAAGAAGCTCAACAAGTCTGAAGTTTTCTTCCATTATCTGTGATGGGAACTAAGCATGTTCTTAGGTGCTCTGATTTGTTTTTGTTTTTAAAGTATAGTATAGCTAGTTCCTATGTGTCATGGATTCATACTAGGCATATTCTGTTTTGGTGCATGTGGTCAATTAAAGTATTCCTCTTGCTCTTTACAGAGCACAGTCAAAGCTTCATAGAGGAGAAATCCTGATAAATTCGGAACTAGATCCTGATGAAATTACTCTAGAGAAGTTTGCTTTTTCAAATGCTCTTTGCCTTTCTGGTAAGTGATATATTGCATCAGGCTTTCTAAGCAGCATTTTGCATCAGAATTTGGGATGTGTAGCATGTGCTGCGAAAAACTTTTCCCCAAAGTGTTACCTAAAATGTGTGTATGAGGATAGCTTGGGAATGTGCACCAGAGATAAGTTATGTATAGTAGTATTACTTCGGCATGATGCAAAGAACTTGAACTTCAGAGATCATTACAGAGGTACACTGATAAAGTATCCTTAAAATGTGTGTTGCTATGTCTGTTTTGGACAATTCCTTCTTGATATCAAATTCAAATGATAAGCAATTTCTTGAGTTACTTCTGGAGTTCAGTGCCACTTAAAGCAATTCAGCTTTGCAGGAAGTAGCCTAAGGCTAATAATTTGTGGTGAGGAGGATTTAGATTGGGAGTTTAGCACCTGTTACCTGCTGTCACTTCTAGAATAAAACCTGGACATCCCTACTCCATTGCTGTTTTAAAGTTTGTTTTTAATTCCTAACAACTGGGAAGTCTGATTGCAAGTCTCCCACCTGACATCTGTTTTGGCCCTCAACCATGCATTTTTTAGGTTCCTTGCGAAGACATCATATACCATATTTTCCCATGTATTGGACGAGGTTTTTTGACTCAAAAAGCATGTTAAAAAATCGGGGTCATCCAATACACGGATAGTGGCATATGGGGGGGGGGGAGCAGTGTGCTACCAGCCAGCCAGTCGGCAGGAGCGTGGCTTCCCCCGATGCCGCAGCGAGCGATCTGGGGGGTGATTCCTGCCCGCATCTGCTGGGGGGGGGGAGAGAAGCTGTGTGCAGCCAGCCAGCTCATTGGCGGGAGTGCAACTTCCCCCAATGCTGCTGCACATGGTGGGTGCTCCCTGGGTCATTTCCCGCGTGCAGCGGCATTGGGGGAGGTTGCACTCCCGTCAACCGGATGGCTGGTGAGAGTGCAACTTCCCCTGATGCCGCTGCACGTGGGAAACGATGCAGGGAGTGTTTCCTGCCTGCAGCTGTGTAGGGGGAGAGGCTCAACAACTTTGGGCCATCTCCCCTTGTTTTTCCTAAAATTGAGTCCCCAAAAATGGGGGGGGAGGGGTCCTTATACTTGGGGGTGTCTTAAAGACGGAAAAATACAGTAATTGAAAGTAGGGACTTGGTTTTGTGAAAACATTAAAGGGTAGTGAACTTGAATAATAAATCTCTTGTACTTTTCCCTAATGTAGTGAAGCTGGCAATTTGGGAATCATCATTGGATAATTTTGTAGAATCTATCCAGTCAATACCTGAGGTATTCACTACTTCATTGGTCTTACGTACTATTATTAAATTGAGCTATTTGCAACATATATTCGCTCTTAACGTCTCACTACTCTCTTTTTAACAGATACTAAAGTCAAGAAGGAAGGTGAAGCTCTCTCATGCTGATGTGATGCAGAAAATTGGGGAATTATTTGCGTTGAGGTATCTTCATTAAAACAAGGAAACTTAACTTAATTCCCAGGACACTTCGTTGTTATTTATTTCAATTATAAATAGCTTCCCACAAGGCATCCTGAAGACGTTTACAATATATTTTGATCCTTCACTTCCAGCCACCTTCGTTTTCTACCCCCTGCCTTCACTACCAACACAGTTATTGGTTCCCTTTTAAGAAGCAAAACTTCCTATAGAAATCTAGCATCATCTTTTTAAAGATATCCTAAGCTCACACCCAAAGTCAAGCCTACTAATTGCAAGAGGTAGATCGATTTAGGGCACCAAGGATTAGAAACAAAAATGTTAAATACAGTGGAAGAGCACAATGCAGTCATGTCTCTTCCTACACACCCGTTAGCACCATATTGTCTGAACACTTGGAAATACGTACCCTGTTAACTGGTGTTTATTAAACATGAAACTAGAATCTTCAGATGAATGGAAATCTTACTGAATAATGTTATGGATTTATTGTAACAGTTTTTAAGAGCTACAGTGTACGATGCAGCTCCATTTAAGCCTTCATATGTGATAAGAGCATAAGCAAGTGTGTCTGTTATAACCTTGACAAGTTCTGTATTTTCCCCAAATCCTGTTTCTAGGAATGTCTGTAATAGACCTGTATGATTTGTGAAGGGTAATGGTAAATAAAGCTTAGATCAGCTGCTGAGAGCAGGGAATCTCTTTTTGTTTAGAGATGGGAAATAAGCCCTAAATCCTTTAATCATAAGAATTTACAAGTACCACTGAGAAGTACTAATCATGAGAAGTCTTGCTGCAAGAACAGGTCTTAACCAGAGAGCAGGATGTTTCCGGATTTTATTGGTAGGATAGTGTAGTCAAGGGAAAAAAGCAGTTCAGTAACAAACATAGTTGTTTGTTCAAAAATAATGGGTGGAATTCAATGTCCTGCTATTCCAAAAGTTCCATCTGTGCAAGTGTATCAGTGTGCCAGACAGAACAATTTCCATGTGCTGTTCTGAAGCTTCCTGCACCAATGGGGGGGCACGGGGGGGGAGCCCTGTTGGGGAACCCCATCTGCAGGACTTCCACTGACAGGATTAATTAGGTGAATCCCGCCCAATTTCTTAATTAAATTTGTACCTTTATAAAGTAATGAATATTTACTTTTTAAATTTATGGTCCAGCCTTCCTCTCAAAGAAGCCCATGAGGGAATATGAAAATCATCACTTTGTTTTGAGTGACCAATATAGCCTTCATAGAGCCTTCATGGTTTGGCACAAAAAGCCTGGAATACCCCTTTTTCGCTGTGATAAAATCATATTTTCCTGGTCTGAGGCTCACCATAGGTTGCCATTTTGTTGGTACTGTAAAATAATTATTTTTCTTCAAGCCAGGGAAGCAGTTGTAGCATGTGATAGAAAAATGGATTGTGTAAGCCTGAGAGTTTTCCAAGTGCTTATTCATCTTGTGTCAAACCATGGTTTGGCATCACATCTGAACCACCTAGGTATAATAATTAACTCAGATTAGGAGGGAAGAACCACCCATAAATGCTCTGAATCTATGTATTTACCTACCTTTCCTCAGGCACCGCATAAATCTGAGTTCTGACCTGCTAATGACTCCAGATTTCTATTGGGATAGAGAGCATCTTGAACAGTTATATGATAAAACTTGCCAGTTTCTCAGCATTAGTCGCAGAGTTAAGGTAGGTACACAATTCCAGCTTTCTTGCCGCAGCAAAAACTTCAGTTTTTGCCAATTGTTCACAGATTGGTTCTCCTCAAAGAAGTCTTAAACTTGTCATGCTCCATTTTCTTCTTCTGTTTTCTTGGTCATGTGTGCCACCTTGGGTTTCTTGGAGGAAAGACAGGACATAAATTTAAGTAAATAAAGGCACTTATTGTGTACAAGTATTTCATTGTTGATGAGCAAGAATATGGGCATGGACTCGTCAAGTGACCCATGTGTAGTTAGAAGATACTTCTGCCTAGTATTGGCTGCGGGATTGTTGATTCTTCCCACTTCAGAGGGTGTATACTACCCTCTTTACAGGCCATTCCAGAGGGTCCACCAAATTTTGGGAGCAGCTTTTCTAGGAGCAAAGGGCTTCCATGGGGCAGTGCACATGCAGAACATTACATGGTTTGGGGCTTCATGCCATTAATTTTAAACAAACAAAAAAACCCAATCCCTGTAGTAAACTGGTATTCTGTTTGCTTTCTTAGCAAGGTGGAACTAGCTATTTGGAAATCTTATTCTCTCTTTCTCTTGGGTAATATGTCCAGTTTTTTTCCATTCCTACTCAGAGCTGGCTTGCTGGTATTGTATTTAATTTTGTTAATTGCAGTATAGTTTTCTCATATAGCAAGCTCATCCCGCGTTATAGTGGTACCTCGGGTTAACAACTGCTCTTAACCTGAGGTGCCACTTTAGCTAATGGGGCCTCCGGCTGCCGCCACCGCACAATTTCTGTTCTCATCCTGAAGCAAAGTTCTTAACCCGAGGTACTATTTCTGGGTTAGCGGCGTCTGTAACCTGAAGCATCTGTAACCTGTTTCCCACGAAGCCAGGTTTTCTCTCCTAAAGGATATTAATCTGCTTATCACAATGAATCTTTTGACAATCTATTAACTGCTGTTCCTGCTGATAGGTGTGGTTCCATAGCTGCCTGTGAAAACTCTGGCAGGCCTGTACAAGTCTTACATTAGTGAGTTTCTCTGATTCCTATGTGGCTGGTACTTGGTTTGAAAAAGGGTCTCCATTGGTAAGAACTAGGAGCTGTATTATGTAAACAAGGTCTTGAGGAAGTGCTGATTTTTGCCCTCCAGGTGATAAGAGTCCAAAATTGCACTCTTTTTGCTAAAATGCATTTGAAAGGGACATTATTTTGAAAATATGTTGCAGTTAGGGCAGACCAGCTTGATTGTCACTTGATTGAACAGACAGGAGTGTTTGATGGAGATATGAGAGGAATGCAGTCATTTCTAATTCATTCTTCATGGTTTGCAGCACATGAATGTAGGGGAGGAGAAATTATAGTTCAGTTAAGTCTATGGGAATCCTTTACAAGTTGACGCTTTGCACTGGATTGAGTTGGATTTTGCCTTCATCTTCCATTACTTAAACCCAAAACTTTAGAAACTGTTCAATTTTAGTAACTATTAATGAACAAAGTTCCGGCTGATGTAGTCATTGTGGTCTATATTTGTAAATGACAGTTCAATAAATCTGCTAACACTGAGATGTCAAAACTCCTAATGCTAACTTTATGGTGTTGGGTGCTCTGCTGCATTCATTGATAGAAACATCAGTTCTGATATAGTTCATCAAACTTCAGTATGTTCATTAAGCCCCATTCAGTGGATAAGCTGTTTAGGTGAGAATACCTTGAACAAGTTGTTTACCCAAGGATTTCTGAAGTATCAGTTCCTCTATTGCAGGTGGTGAATGAAAAGCTCCAGCACTGCACAGAGCTGACAGATTTGATGAGAAATCATTTGAGTGAAAAACATGCTTTGCGTTTAGAGTGGATGATAGTGATACTCATCACCATAGAGGTAATTTTGCAACAATGTGCTGCTGTGCAGTGTTAGTATGAACTTATATCCTTTAGGAATTTATGTAGATATAGCACTCTCTAGTGTTCAAAATGCTTCACACACATTATTTTGATGATTCTGGCAACAGAACTATAAAGTAGGCCAGTATTATCCCTAAATCATAAATGCCGAACTGAAACTGAGAGAATAGGGACTTTGATTAAATGAGATTTGAACAAGCAACTTGGGCACCACACTGCACCAGCATATTTTTTACCTATATGTAAGAAGAAGAAATCAAAATTAGTCATCTAGGACGTCTTCACATCACAATATTCCATCATGGGATGGTATGTAACCTGCATGTAGTTCAAGTGCCAAGCGTATTCATGGCTTTCTCAGAGTTTACATGCCCTGGAAGCCACAAGTTACATTGTCTAGACTGTTTTCTATGTCACATGATGCATTTCTAAGTTGAGAATGCATATTGATCTGTAATTACCTCCTTCCCGTGTTACTGGAATTTGTGTAGTTTTTATTTCGCAAATTACAAATGCATTTGTTTTCTGGGGGCAGTCAACAGCAGTTACACCTGTTAAGTCAAGCAATGGCTGGGAACTGTTCCCTTCAGTTAAGGAACTGCTATGTGCAAAATCAGAGCCCCAGTCAGTCTCCACACACTGAGGTGCAAGTGCGAGAGCAAAGCAAAAGACTTTGAATAGCAACTCAAGTAGTACCTGCTGATGAAAGGATCTGTTCAGTGACCATCTTTTAAGTCAGTGTCTGAAAGAGGGCTGTTATCCTGTCATCCTATCCCCTCCCCACCTGCCTACCTCTGACTTACAGAGGCCTTTGCTTGCATGAATAGTGCCGTTTCTTTATCTTTCTAGCCACCAGGCTTATATGGGTGAGTGAGCAACATTAGAATCTTCCGTCACTTATGAAAATGTTAACCATCCCTTTGCCTTAGTATCACCTTTAGCTGCTGAACAGATTGCTTGTGCTGGAGTAAGGGGCCCTATTTGTATTAGTTAGCATTAGGGTGTGTGTGTGTTTTTTTAAAGGGTGGTTTTAAATACCACGGTAATGAAGAGTTTGGAGCTGTTGACTTTATTACTAATGAAAACACTTGGAAAAATATATAATAAGATTCTATTTCTTTTGCAGGTCATGTTTGAACTTGGCAGAGTTCTTTTCTGATAACTTGTGAATGATAAGAGAATTTTGAGAAGATTGTGAAGATAATCCCAACAGCCTTGTGTTTGCTGGACTTCAACATTATTCTTCACACTTCTGAAAAGTTCAGCAAGTGTTATAATAAATGTATGGACACTTGGTGCTAACGAAACAATTGAATTCACTGAGGTTAGACCAAAGCTTGAATTGGAGGTAGTTTCCAAGAAATCATGGTCCAGAGTATATTGATCCTTCTTTAAGATACTGTACCTTTGTTTAGAAAGCAGACAACCAAAGACTGGCTTACTAAAGCTGTACCCACACTTGCAGTTTTTTTATCTGCTGTATAGCAGGAAATTATGTAATGATGCAGTAGTCTGTGCCATGTAAAATAAGGCTTTTATATGGGTTATGTCTCACTGTGTGGTGCGTATTTTGCCACAACTGTGAGCCATTTGCCAGAATTGAGGGAAGCGCTTCCAGTATTGTACTACTGTGTTTGTGGGGAATAAGTTATCCATAGAAAAATAAGTGTGTTGGGAGAAAAATAGGCTGAACTCTTCTCCCAAACATGCTAATTTGTTTTGTGCAGTTTTTTTAAATAGGGAAGGATTTAAACATTGTTTTCCCCCGTCCGCAGCATACGTAGGAACAGCTCAGGAAAAACATAGCTCTTGGCCTGGGCCAGAAGTAGGAGCCCAAACTGATGAACTGGTTCAGTCTTGAAACTGAATCCATAAACAGAAAAAGCAGTAACTGTCCCAGGAAGTTAGGAGGTTCTTTTGAGGATGAGAGAGCATTTGTCTCTTCTAACTCTAGAGACATGGACAAGAGAATGTATTTTGTAGGAAATTGGAAAAAGGACTCAGAAAGTGAGTTATCCTGCATTTATCTCAACTCCCCACACCAAGCACAAACTGTTTCTTTCTGATTAGTTATTTGCTGTCCTGATCTAAATAAACCATATTCAAATTTGAAATTGCCCCAAAATTTCTATCCAGATGATGCACTAAATATGACGGTCTCTTCAATCAGAAGCACCTAGCTAGTTCAGATTGACTTTAACCTACTTCTCCAAGGAGCAACAGACAGTTATCAAGTTTGCTTGTGAGAGATTTCAAGTGGGACTAATAAATGTGTAGGCATAAATTTCATCAAAATGTTTACAGATGTCTTAGTCCTACTTGAAATCTCCAACCAACAGGCTTTGTCAAAATGAAAACATGGGAATAGGGTTTTCTCCACTGTGGCACCCTATGGATCTTCACCTAAGAGTTTGTTTCCCTGCACAAATATCATTCCGCTGACAGCTAAAGGCCTACTTGTTTATCTGGATCTTTGGGGAAGGGTGAAAACAGCTGATGACATGTTCTTCCTTGTCTGTACCGTGAATTATGTATTTTAAATTGTTTTGCTGGTACTGTTTTGTATCCCTTCAAGATTTTAACTGCATATCTATTTGTTGCCCTGGGATCCTAAAGGAAGTGTGTGGTCAAATTATAGCTAATAGTAATAAAATATTTCATCATCTTTCCCCCCCTAAGTCAGTAGTTATCAAACTTTGTGGTTTTATGCATTTTGAAGTACACCAGGAGTGGGCAATTCCCCCCCCCCCCAAGTGTCACATACTACTTTGGAGGTAGGGGAATGTGAATGTGTTTGTGTGTGCATGCGTGCAAGAAATGGTTGTGGTAATATATATTTCTTCCTCGTCTCACTCAGTGTTTTCTCTCCTCATCACAACAAGTACGAGGAAAATAAGTCAGATAGCTCTAGGGAACACACAAAAGCAGACTGAGGATGGCCCACTCCTGCAGTACGCCCACCAAAAACAGCATTCACATGGCAAAATCTCCCTGCTGTAGTGTTACAAGTACACTTGCGATTTGATAGGTTATTACGAGTTTCTCCTACCACCACTGGCAGCCAGACATTTGAAGAGGGAGCTGGGAAACACTCATCATAGTGCTTCATTGCATGCAGAGTACCTAAAATGCTACACGAGAGGGAGAGAACAAGGGCACCATTTTTGGCAGCATACCAACAAGGCTTAGTGTGTGCTTGTTTTTCTTCTGGTCAAGTGAAATGACAAACTTCTGTAGGGTGTGTTACTAGTACAAGGAAATGACATGTTTTAAACATTCAAATATTCTCATTTTACACTTCATGTAGCACTCAAAAGAATTTGATTACCTGTACGAAATGTATCTGAACTGCTTCATAGTGGGTTGAACAAGTTACTGAACCACTTCTGAAAGGCAACATGAACTGGAAATAAGCATAGTTGAATGATGAAATTTGGGCTTAACATCCTGGGTAGCAGCTTTGATATCCTTCAAATTATCCTGAATCTAATCCCTTTTCTTGCTTAATGATGGGACACTTGACTGTTATTAAAAAGGGGGGACTTCAAAGAGAGATCAGAGACTCCACTGAAGTACAATTTATCAAAAGGTTGAGTTCTATCATTTATGGGTTGAATTGGGATAACAGGGTTTTAATTACAAATTTGTATTTTACAAGTGCCAGAACATGTGTCCTTGTCAACAGTGCTTTATGGTCACAATCTACTTTCTGAATTACGTATCAAATGCTAACTGCATTTTTAAGCAACTATTAAGCATAGTTATTTCACATATTGAAGTAACAGAGATTCTGGTTTCAGATTGATTACATGGGTTACTTGTGATCAGGCCCCCTTGAAGGGCTTCCTGCAGGCATCTGGTTTGCCTCTGTGGAGATGCTGGACTAGATAGGCCATTGGCCTGATCCAGGCTCATCTTTCATTCTGTAGTGAGCTAAACAAAGTCCATAAGCCAGACTTCTACAAGAAGTGTGTTTTTACTGTGTCCACAACTGTATTTGTGTTCATATAACAACCATGAATTCCTTAATTCCAGCAAGTGTGAAGGGAGGAAAATACTTCCCAGGTTTCTAAACATAGTTTAGTTTGGCAGCTGGGGCAATGGATTAACCAGTAACAGGAAGAGAAAATTATTCTACTTAATGGCGAATATACGGAGATGAACTATAGATCCAGAACCACACACAAAATATGAAAACCTGTGAGGTAACTGTGGCAGGGGTGGTGCATATGCTACAATTCCTCTTTTCTAGCATCTCTCTGGAAAAACATCCATTTGTGAGTCTGCATATTTTATTTCAATGTACTGAAGAACAAGCAAATTCATTTCCTATACTGCAAAAGACAAGAGGAATTTGAAATAGATGAGGATTTGAGAACTCTGTGTGTCTATAGCACCTAGAGGTTTTAATAACTTGAGAAAACTCAGTATGTAAAGGAAATAATTTCAGACAAAATGAAAAAAACCCTGTGGGTTTTCTTGCTTGCCATATAATTTTTTTGATCTTTGTCATCCAAAACAGAGTGGAAGGTTTAATCCCATTTAAAGGATCACAGCTAGCTGGCCAGGGAAACACCTATCTTGCAATCAGCTGCTAGGCAGAATACACCACTAGGCTGCATGAACCAGTGATATAGCTTGTCCCTAGTAAACTTAAGGCTTAAAAGGTGCGAGGAAGTCTAGTTTTTGCTGCAGCAGAATCCCCTGCAAACCCGTGAAGGCAGCCAGGCGGAATAGTTGCTGGGGCTGGGGAAGGTGGAGGCAGCCCGGAAGCTGCACGTGAGAGCCCCTGCACCACCTGAAGGCAGCCAGGTGCTCCTCAGCTTCCAAAAAAAGTTCCAAAACCGGAACAGGTTCAGGTTCCCAGTAGCTCAAGAACTAAGCTGAGCTACTGGGAACCTGAACCTGAGGTGCCACTGTATTTATTTTCCCCAATTTGAACTGTATTTATTTTTCCCCTGGTGGTGATTTTCTTGAGTCAAAATGAGAGTTCCCTTAAACATTTTTTTAGAAAAAAAGCACTGAGTATACCATAAAATTATATATAAATGGAAAGTTAATTTTTTGAAGAATGTAATGCAATAACTTTTATGAAGCATTTATTACAACAGTCATAAAGAAGAAACGTGAAACACACAGAAAAAAATAAGATACAAAGGTTAAATTGCCGTGTTGGCACTTTGCGATAAATAAATGGGTTTTGGGTTGCAGTTTGGGCACTCGATGTCTAAAAGGTTCACGATCACTGCTATATAGATTCCTTCATGAGTGTGAAGCACAATTTCCCACAAAAAACATACAGATTAATCACACAACCACAACTAATACTCAGATTCTGTCTTGTTCTTAATTTATATGTGTAGTTTTATTGTTTTATACCATTTAAGTAGTGAGCAATGTTTTGGTCTTATGACTGCTTTTACCCAGCAACCAATCACATGCCACAGCATATTTATCATTTCCATACATTAGGTGTAAAGCAGCTCTTACACATACAAAGTCTCACATTTCAAAACTCATTAACCAATTGTTAAAAGCAGAACTCGTACACTAAAGTCCTGCTAATTTATTTCACATTAATGTGGAAATTGCACATTAATGTGGAAATTGCACATTAATGTGGAAATTGCACAAGTTTACTGACCTTTTGAAACTGCTTTTTTTTTAAAAAGTCTACAATCAGTGCATGAAGGCAAACTTTCATGTTTTGTTTCAAATACCTGGATATGTACTACATATGAACACTTCATATGAGTACTGGAAGCATAGGAGCCAATTTCTAGGGGCCGAGGGCCCATTCACCTCCCCCCCAAAAATATTTGAGGGCGTCACACCCCTGCAAAGTTGATGGGCATTGCCATTCAAATGGTGTGCCATGTAATGTGATTATATGGGTCGGGGCTTACCTGCCACCCATTCAAGTTGGCACACCTGACTGCAAGCATACCTCAAGGTTTGACAGGTGCAAAGTCACTAGCAGAGCAATATTAAGTGGGATTGGAGGAAAAACATGGTAGATACACCACCACATCCCAAACACTATTGGCTCATGCCAGCCGGGCTGAAAAGTGGAGAGAATGGTTTCTTGAAATTCTTCATGCCATCTCCAGGCTGCCACAACTGTGGGGCCCAAGAATACACAAGGCTTTGGCTCTAAAACTGCCAGTACCCCACCCCTGTGATACTTACCACTTCAGGGCTTACCACCGGAGATAGCTTCTGCCCACCTGGGTAGCACCCCTCACAACTAGCCGTGTGACTCAATGCCAGCAGAGTCAACTACAGTGCTCAGCCTTCAAACATTGGGGATGGGGTTAGAATTGTATACCTACCTGATATTCAAAAGCTGTTTTTAAGACATGTGATTACTTGTTACTGTGTGGTTTAACAGAAGTGATTTGGACTCCATATGTATATCACTGAAATGCTGTGATAGGCTAGATGAGCACTAAATGATCTTAACAAAACAGAGGTTCTGGGCAAAGGTAGTTTATTTGCTCAGGGAGATGGGTGTTCAGCCTGTTCTAGATGGGTTTGCACTTTACCCTATAGGATAAGATTCAGTCTGGATGCGTTTATGGATCTTGTGTCTTGTGGTACATAGTACCTTTCATTAGCTGTGAGTGCTGTACCAGCCATAGTCTGGCTTGGACAGAGAGAGCCTGGCTATTCTCCATACTCTGATAAACCACCCAGTATTGTTTACTATAATGAATATATGTGGAACTGCATCTGAAGACTTGCATGACAGCCACTGCTGGTACAGAATACAGCTACCAAACTACAGGCATTACAACATTAGGCTTAAAAACTTCACCAGCTGGTTTTTCCCCAAGCAGAATTCAAGGTATTGATGCAAATTTCCAAAACCATAAACCGTTTTGAATACTGGGTTCCTAAAGGACATCCATCAGCCCAACGATTTCAGTCAGCAAGCAAGCCTCTCCTTTTCATAAGAGGTAGATGGCAACCATAGGGAAAGCCTTTTCAGAGAGGATGCCACATTTACAGAATTCCCTTTCCAGGAATACCTGCCCTGCCTGTTTTATCTTTTCAGCATCAGGCAAAGATGTTTTTTGTTACCACAGGCCTTTAAAGCTCTGGACTATCTTTGTTTTTATCTACTTATTCTACTCAATCTTACTTTTTACTATTTTATTCTGGGTTTGCACTGTTTAATTGTTTTGAATTGCTCTGGGAACCAGTTGGGTGAGGTGGTGTACAAATATATCCAATGCTTATCCTGAGGGCTGCACGTGGCCCTCGAGGCATTTCTGGGTGACCCTCAGCAACATTTGACACACACACACCTCAGCCCTCACACTGCCTTCCCCAAGCCAGTAAAGTGAAGTGCTGGGCTTTGGGAGGAAGCCATGAATGATCTGACAGGGTTCTAGAGTCGTCACACCTCCTTCCCACAGCTGGGAAGTGCTAACTAGGCTTTGGGAAGGAGGTGTGAGGACTCTAGGACCCTGCCAGAGCCTTGCACCTTCTTCCCAAAGCCTGGCTCCTTGCTTAGATGCCTATGGGAAGGGGGTGTGCGGCCCACGGTTTCCATGTCAAAGTAGTCTTGTGGTCCATTTGGTTAAGCTTGACTGCCCTGGTATGGGCACAAGGATGAGACCTGAGGCTACTACCTTATGCACACTTAAGTCCGACTAAATTCTGTGGGGAATTA